GCAACAGCAGCAGCAGCAGCAGCAGCAGCAGCAGCAGCAGCACCTGTATCATCTCTCCTCCGTAGTTGTCTGGTTGCATCTCTCTTAGTTTACAACCCCACATAAACCCCACCCCAAAACCACCAAAAAAACCGCAGCAGCAGCAGCACAAACAGCAGCAGCATAAACAGCAGCAGCAGCAGCAGCAGCAGCAGCAGCAGCAGCAGCAGCACCTGTATCATCTCTCCTCCGTAGTTGTCTGGTTGCATCTCTCTTAGTTTACAACCCCACATAAACCCCACCCAAAACCACCAAAAAAACCGCAGCAGCAGCAGAACAAACAGCAGCAGCATAAACAGCAGCAGCAGCAGCAGCATAAACAGCAGCAGCAGCAGCAGCAGCAGCAGCAGCAGCACCTGTATCATCTCTCCTCCGTAGTTGTCTGGTTGCATCTCTCTTAGTTTACAACCCCACATAAACCCCACCCCAAAACCACTAAACATTTTATGGCCGCTAGCAACAAGAAAATCTGCGCCGAGAGAAGATACATCTATCTGAAACCACAAACCCTAAACCCTAAACCCTAAACCCTAAACCCTAAACCCTTATTTATTTTATTTTATTCTAGATGTAGGTGGAGGGGGGAGAAAGAAAGTAAAAACACAAAAAAAAAAGAAAAAAAAAAAAAAAAGAGAAAATACACCTATGTTCATTAATATTTATATATCGAGGGTTTAGGGTTTAGGGTTTAGGGTTTAGGGTTTAGGGTTTACGGGTATATGTGGTAGAGCTTGTGCGGCATCGATGAGTACGACGAGATTAGGGTTTAGGGTTTTGGCCTGCTGCAGCAGCTGCTGCAGCTGCTGCTGCTGCAGCAGCAAACCTAAAACGTTTGAAGCGCATGCAACAGCAAAGACACGGGTTTTCGGAGACAGCAGAGACAGCGCGCGGTGTATGTTGAGCTCCATTGTCTCCTTCTCCAGCTGAAACCACAAACCCTAAACCCTAAACCCTAAACCCTAAACCCTAAACCCTGATTTTTTTAGGGTTTAGATCGGTGTGTTTATCGTTTTTTGTTTCACCGCGTTAAGCGACACAAAACACAAAACACAACAACAACATAAATACTAGGGTTTAGGGTTTAGGGTTTAGGGTTTAGTAGGGTTTAGGGTTTAGGGTTTAGTAGGGTTTAGGGTTTAGGGTTTAGTAGGGTTTAGGGTTTACAGGTATAAACTTCAACTCTGCTTTTTTTCTTTTTGCTAGCTGCTGCCACGGGAGGAGGTTTGCGTGGTGCTCAGCAACAGAGACAACGATCTCTGAACCCTCCTCAACAAAAGCATCTCTGCATCAAAACCCTAAACCCTAAACCCTAAACCCTAAACCCTAAACCCTAATTTCTAGGTGCAGATTGATAGATGCAGAAAAAACAAAGGGTTTAGGGTTTAGGGTTTTCGGGATATTACATTATATACACACAACAAATCTCCACATATAACAACGCAAATTTCTCGCAAAAACAAGGGTTTAGGGTTTAGGGTTTAGGGTTTAGGGTTTAGGGTTTACAAACCCCCAGGCTCTAGCAACCATGTTTATGCCCGCCGTTGCGCCAGAAGTAAACACTACTTCTTCTGCTTTGCCGCCGATGAATGCTGCTACTTTTTCTCTTGCTTTCTGAACAACACAAACCCTAAACCC